CAACCCAGCACTAGCTGCTCAGGCAGAGTCGAGTCTGCAGCCTGCGGCAATCCCATGGGAGGACAAGGAAGAAGCAGCTCAGGTCATGGGTGCTGAGAAGGTCGTCGGCTCCTCCTCCTCCTCCTCCGAGCAAAGTCATCAAGACAAGGGACAAGAAGAAAGCGTCCTCCCTGCACCATCCACAGTTCCACCTCAAGCCAGAAGCCTAAAGAAGACTGTCACCATTAAAGATGCCACAGAAGAGTTGGGGCCACCGAAAGAGGATGAGAAGAAAACCCACAAGGAAAAGTTGAAACAAGAGAAAGATAAAGGGACCAAAGTGCAGCCTCAGAGACCTCCGAGATCCATTCTGAAGGTACCCTCCAATATAAATGAAAAATCTGAAGAATTCATCCAGCGCAGGAGGGAAACTCTAAGAACCAGTTCTGGGCCTTCCCGCACCCAAACCCAATCAAGAACTTAGAATCAACCTGCAGATCTTGATTTGGTGATCTGGGTGTCTCATTGCAAGAAGGCGCCATAACTCATAAACAGTCCTATCTTTCCTTAATAACTTGGATCTCACTCCATGTTCTTCTGCAACAAGACTCTGTTCCAAATGTAATTCTCTCCATTATTGAATCATTTTCTTTGTACTATCCATTGTTGCTTCACATAACACGCTTGTCTAAAAAGAAAGTCGTGCCCAACCCGAGCCCAGCTTCACATAACTTCAATTTTATTTCTACTGTTGCAAATGGATTGGATTCATCATTATTTACTGGGTAAATTTCTTAAACTATCTGACGTTGACTGAGTGTAACCTTATTGTTTGAAAATTGACTGATGCTACCCCTATTGGTTCTCACAATTGACCAACTCTACTCTTACTGTTAACATCCATTAATATTGCATCAAAACCCATAGGGTGTGGTACATGGGAGTTGTCAAAGAAAAGTGAAATAATGGAAATTGGTAACTATTATAAGGAAAGAATGCAATGCTATATAAAATAATTAATCTTTATTTTAATAATTTATAATAAAAATTAATTTAATAATTTAGATTAAATGTATTAATAATTTCTAACAGAAATAATGAATGCTACTAATAGTGAAAAAATGCCTGAATTTGGATAAACATTAAAAAGAAACTTCTCCAATACACGATTCTCACACAAATTGAGACAAGTGTTTATTTAGGCTTCGTTTAGCATGTCTTTCCACACAGTCTCTTTGCTATTTACAAGTCCGACAAATTGCGATTTGGTCTTTTCCTGTTTGGTTATCAATAAATATAGTCACTAAAAGATCGGGTCTTGAAAATACACAAAAAGCCTGTTTTGAGTTGATTTAGGGAAGCTCCAAATGGAGCTTTTCAGTATTTTTTTATCCGTCTTCACACAGAAAGACATGCCTGAACCAAACGATCTTCAGGCTGTCAAGATCTTAATACAAAAGCTCATTGAGCCTTTTAGGGGTGTAAACTGTATTCGGGTATCCGATTTTGAATTTGATATCTAATGTAAACGGATCGAATTTGGATTATTCGATTAATTTAATGGTCAAATTCGAATTAAATTTTAATACCGATTAATTTATCGAATCAAATTCAAATATAGGTTGATTCGATTCAATAAATATTCAAATTCAATTAGATATAAATATAATATATATAAATATAAATATATGTGTCTTAGGGGTCGTTTGATTGCACTTTTCAGAGGTTTGAATATGAAAATGTTGCTTTTCAGATCCTCACACTTGTTTGGTTTTAACTCTTAAACTTGATCTGAATCTTATTTTCAGATCTGAAAATAATAGACCTTGGGCCAGCTCTTAACGCACTCAAACGCGTTTCTGAGCCGGTGCAAGGTCAAAGCTGCCCTTACAATATTTTGGAAATGATGCATGCTACCCCTATCTTCTCGTGTGCAAACCTTGTCTTCTCTCTCTCTCTCTCTCTCTCTCTCTCTCCCCTTGTCTTTCTGCCACCATCACTGCAACTTGCAGCAACGGCTCTCTCTCCCTCTCCGCCCTGTCTTCCCGCCATTGCTATTGCAAGTTGTAGCGGTGGCTCTCTTTATGGCTCTCTCTCTCCCCCTGTCTTCCCGGTTCTAGGGATTGTTCTTAGAATTTTTCTAAGTGTTATTTTGTATTTGTGAGCAAGTGTAAGAGTGTGTTGTTTTCAAAGTATTTTCGTTCTCCTTCTATAAGTACTATCGATATTATATTTCCATTATATTGTTTTTTCTACTATTTCTGGTTTTCTCTGCATATTTCTGTTATGTTGTTTTCTTACTATTTCTGGTTTTCCTTGCATATATACTCCGCATCTATATCACCTCACCACCTCTCATTTTACTATTCACATATTGTCCCTTCACTACTACTGTTCACCTACTGTCCCTTCATTACTACAATACTGCTCACTACTACTGTTTTGGTATCAGAGCCATTAATCCATATTCACCCATCTTGACCTTTGGCCCTGACTAGCCGGTGCAAGGTCAAAGCTGCCCTTACAATATTTTGGAAATGATGTGTGCTACCTCCGTCTTCTCACATGAACCTTGTCTTTAGAGGTGTAAAGCGTGTCATGCTACGGGCCGGGTGGCCGTGGGCCAGCCCAAGTCAGGTCGTGCATCGGGCCAAAGCTATTTATTGTAAAAAAATTGACAAAAAACTTAAAATTTTAATTTTATATGAATTTTGTGTATATAATTGCTTATATGTACAGTGATTAAATAAATTAGTATAATAAAATTAAAAATATATTTTATTAATATATTATATAATTATAATTTATATAATATTATATAAATATATATAAAATATATAAATATATATATGGGTCGTGGTCCTAAAACCCTAGGCCACGGGCCGCATGATCGTATCGGGCCTGGCACGGCCCGCGGACCGTCGTGCCGGGTTGCGGATGGCATGACCCGATTTACACATCTACCTGTCTTCTCTCTCTCTCTCTCTCTCTCCCCCTATCTTCCCGCCACCGCCGCTACAACTTGCAACGGTGGCTCTCTCTATCTCCTTCTCTCTCTCTCTCTTTCACAGCCTAGTCTTCCCGCCACCACCGTTGCAAGTGGCGGCTCTCTCTCCCTTGTCTTCCCGGTTCTCTCTCTTGCTCTCTCTCTCTCCCCCTGTCTTCCCAGTTCTCTCTCTCTCTCTCTCCCCTTGTCTTCCCACCACCGCCATCACCGCTACAACATGTAGTAGCGGTGGTTCGGTGAATAATAATAATATTTTTATTAATTATTAATTATTAATTAATTTAATATTCTTTTATTAAACATTAATTATTTTTGTTATTTATTAATTATTAATTATTTTTATTAACTAGTAATTTTTAATTATTTCATTAATTTTTCAAAATCATTTTAATTTTTATTTGTGTAAATTAATAATTAGTAATTATTAATTATTTTAATACTTTTATAGTCATTAATTTTTTTTAATTTTAATCATTTCATTTATTAATTAGTAATTATTAATTTATTATTTTTTATTGTATTATTTTAATATTATTTTGAGGTTGAAAATTATTTTTATGAGATAATGCAAATTGAATTCAACATTTTCAAATAGTATGTTTTAGGGGTAAAATAGTAAAATTAGTAAATTTTAGATGGTAAAGGGTTGATCCAACACAAACAAAATTATGGATTCAGATCCTCTAAAAAGTAGAAAAGCATCTATACCTCTTTTCAGATTTTAGACACTTTTAATATATTTTTAACTTTTCAGATTTATCAAACGCCACCTTATACTCTTAATACTCTTGCACCTTTTTTGCAAGAGTATTATCAAGACAATTAAAGATACACAGTCCTTTTTCTGAAAATTGATTACTATATTATTTTTTCATCGATACAGTCACTCATTAACCCTCCCCCCCCCCACCACGCGACATTAGCCCTCCCTCTCCCCACTTCACTTTGACAAGACTTTTCTTCTCCCCATCTCTTAACTTGCAATTCTTAGTGTTTCTAACCTATCAATCCATTCTTATTTCCGCCTCATCTCCCTCTCCCCTCGTCGCGTTATCATTCTTCATTTTCACTGCTCTTAAACTTGCAATCAGAGGTAGTATGGAGAAAAAAAAAGGAGAGAGCATCGGGTTTTGTAGAAGACAAATGAGTTTCATGGCATTTTAGCTTCTTCTATTCAAATCCTAGCTTTCTTTGTTACTTGTTCATTTTTAGATTTTTTTCGGTGTTTTTTGCTATTCTTTTTTTCTTATTTTAGTCTTTTGGGGTTTTTCTTTTTTGCTCACAAGCCACATCAAATGGGTTTTTTCTTGTATAATCTGATTTTTAGATTTAGGATTTTTAATATTTATAGAATCAGTTGAATTTGAATATTCAATGCTTTAAACAAATTCGAATTCAGTTTACATTTTTGAGTATCCGGCAGATATTGAATCGAATTCAAACAAACTACTCTTTAACCAAAATTGAATACAAATATCATCAAATTCGAATTTGCTCCATTTACAAGCCTAACATCTTTTGACTATAGCTACCAGAATATCTTCCCAAAGACTTGCCAAAAAGGAAATACTGTCACTATTAATCAAAATCGAATTTTAAAAATACTGTCGCTATTAATTGTTTTGAATTTGCATATTGTATGATCCAATTTTGTTTCATATTTGATTTCTTGGGCTTTGAGGTTTGAATTGAATCAGATCTCCAGATGTGTCCATGAATGGAACCTGTTTTATATATCCATCAGATATTGGATCTATTGACCACCCAAAAAAAATGATATTGGATCTATTTGGTATCTCTCGGATACTTGTATTAGATTCGGATGTATCCCCGATCTGAATTCGATCCAGTATAAAGGGCATAGGAACGGATACTGGATCCTAATTCCTAATTCCAATTTCCAAATCTGGATTCGTGTTCGGGTGAACCGGGTCAGAGTTGCAGTGGGCCGAATTGGGTCATAATATATATAAGGTCCATTGTCAACCGGTGGGACTTAAAAACCAGGTCGAGGGCTTTAGGGGATCTATGTGTCATGATGTGCTTGTTGGCGCGTAAGAGGGTGTGAAGAAGCCGCAGTTTGGCCCCGGACTATCGGCGGTCTCGGCTCTCTTGCCGGCCTTCGCTGTGGAATTTGCCTAGCCTCGTTGATCGATCCGAAGACGCGACAACGACATTCAATCTGTTGTTGTTACTTTTGATCTCTCAATTTTGAAATCACAAAACCAGTTTTCGGAGGAGCAATGACTGGCTGCCGCATCAGGGCTCTCTGGATCCTCAACAATCAAGACACCATCGTCTTCTCTAGGTGATTGATTCTTTTTCACCGAAGATTAAAGGCTTTTCCTTTGGGAACTTGATTTTCGAGCTGGATTTTCCGTTCTCGTTATAGAGATGGAGAATTCTAGTGCTTTCTTGTTCGTTCTCCTGTCGGATCTGAAGTTTCTGAACTCACGAGATAGTTTCTGCATGTGGAATTTGGATTTCTTATTCGAACGTGTTGATTGTCTGTTGTTTCAACTTTAAGTAGCACTATTGTGTACTGTTTTTTTTCCTGTTTTTCGTTTTCCGATACCAAATGTTCTCGTATGCAAGGGTTTTCAACGTGGAGCTCTGTTTTCTTGGGCTAACTTCCTTGTATTTATTTATTTATTTTTAATTTCTACTCATTTGTTTGTTTTTTCTGATCAGGAGGTTTCCGGTAGTTGAGAAGCAGTGGCGATTAGCTTGCAAGAGAGAGAACGAGAGCTCTAGTGGGGATAATTTGAATTCCATTGTGTTGCCGTTGCTTCCAACTGATTCAGAGTTAGCTGCTGCTTTCCTAGAGAGGAAAAAGAGGTTGGCAGGAGATCTTTCATTAAAGTGATTTCTTCTATTTTTTTTTTCTTTTCTTTTAGTTGTGTTGGTTGGTTGGCGGTGTTGTTTGATTGTCAATTGACCTGGCAATGACATACAGGAACAAAACCCTATGCTTCGGTTCCTCAACAACATAGAACCACTCTAAAATTGTATAGCTATTTATTTTCAAGTGTCTATATTTATTTTATGTTGCATTAGCAAGTGGCTGAACCAACAAAGTATATGTTAGTGTTAGAAACAACTCTTAATTTTATTTTATTTGCATTTAGAGTTCCTGCTTTCATAAATTGATAATTAGTGGTATGGCTTTATGTGCAGAGAGGGTTCTGCCCGTGGTTTTGGCATACGTGTGACCCAGTCAGTTGAAGGTTCAGATTCCTGGGTTGATGACCCTATTACACGTCATATTATCAGCCTTTTTATTAGTAAAGAAGAGGAAGGAGTGAAGTTTTTATTGTGGCCGTTGGTTTTGCATGTAAAAGGCCATTATTATATTCTTGTATTGCCTTTAGTTGAACCCCAGCACTTAAAAGCATATGAAAGGATGTGCAGAAGATCTGATTGTGGAAATTCCATTGGAATAGAAGAAAGCTTATCAGCACTCCTCTTTGATCTTCCATGCATTACAGGGTAAGGTAAGTTTTTGGAGATGTTGATTTGATTATTATCATTAAAAATCAACAGAAAAAGAGAAAGAAAGAAAAAAGAGAGAATCTCATGATATCATACTTGGTGTTTTATTTAGCTCATATAATATTAATAGTTTATACTTTATAATGGATTTCAGAATATTGATAAATTCTGTTCATTTATCAAAAAAGAAAATATTGATAAATTCTGTTTTGTTCCTTTTTTGTTCCATTTATCTTTCATTTCATGATTACTATTAGTCTTTGATAGGCTTTTTTTTTTTATAATTAAAAGAAAACTTTCATTAAAAGGAAAAAGAAAATTACAAACCGGTTAGGTGTTAAGGCAACACCTAGAAACCACCCAACACAACATCAATAACAGAATAAAACAAATCGAAATCAATTGGCCAAATTAATCTTCCACCACTCCAAACTCTTCCAAACCTTCCTCATCCATATTTCTCCCATAACAAATCAGAAGCTTTCCTCATACTTTTTCCTTCCTATTCCTCTCAAAAGCTTCAAAGACTTTCCTAGCAAAGCTCTCACCTCCCAAAGAACAAGCCCAACGACGTGCCAAATTCCACTTCTTTATTAACTAATTTCAGTGCAATAAAAGAATAGTAAAATATTTCAGATTATAGGAGAAAAGAAGAAGAAGAAGAAAACAAGAAGAAGAAGATGGAGAACAAGGGAGAAAGTATTTCTATAATCTCCACTCACACCTCACTAATTCTTTTATTAATCTTCATTAATTGGGTTAATTACAAGTCTGCCCTTAAGTGGGCAGCCAGCTAAGCAAGAACTTTAAAAGAACTTATAAAAGAGATTAACAGGTCCAATAACATACAAAACAAATAACTTACTACTTAAACATAAAAACAAATACTAGGGCCCATTCGGCGTAGTCTCTCTACACTCCCCCTCAAGCTGAGCATAGATTTCAATCATGCCCAACTTGCTCATATAGTGTGTCAGCTTCCCTTTTGGAACACCTTTGGTCAAAACATCAACCAACTGCTCTTATGAAGAGATAAATGGCAAGCAAACTTCCCCTGAAGCAACTCTCTCCCGTATAAAATGTCTATCAACCTCCATGTGCTTAGTTCTGTCATGTTAAACAGGATTATGTGCAATGTTGATAGCTGCCTGGTTGTCACAGTAGAACATCATTGGTTTTTCATAGTCAATACCCAACTCTTCCAAAAGTGATCTCAGCCACAGTAATTCTGACACTCAATGTGCCATTGCCCTGTACTCTGCTTCAGCTGAGGATCTGGTTACTATAGACTGTTTCTTACTCCATGAGACAATGTTTTCTGCCACGAAAGCACAATATTCTGAGGTGGATCTCCTATCATTGATACATCCAGCCTAGTCAACATTAGTGTATGCCTCTAACTTCGTGTGCCCATGCTTGGCAAACAAAATACTTTTTCTTGGAGTGCCTTTCAAGTAACACAAAACTCTTTCTACAACAGCCAAATGTGTATCTTTGGGAGAATGCATAAATTGACTAATAACACTCTTTGCATAGGAAATATCTGGTCGAGTCATGCAAATATATAACTACTTAACTAGCAGTCTATGAAACACTCCCCTATCAGACAACAGTTCACCATCAGTAGTAGAGAGCTTATGATTGAGGCCTATAAGGGTGGAAACCAGTTTGACACCAAGTTTGGTCTCTACAAGGAGGTCAAGAACATACTTGCGTTGAGAAATGAAGATACCATCCTTAGATCTAGCAACTTCAATTCCCAAGAAATATCTGAGATCCCCCAAATCCTTGATCTCAAATTCAGAGTTAAGAAAGCTTAATCACTCCCTGGGTGTCATTACCCATAACTACAATGTCATCAAAATAAACAATCAGAAAAGTCACCAAAGAGTTACTTCTTTTTAGAAACTAATTATGGTCAGATTGAGTTTGTGTGTAATCAAAGGAGACAAGGGCAGCTCTGGATCTCTCAAACCATGCTTGAGGAGACTATTTGAGACCATAAATGGATTTCTGCAGTTTACACACCTTTCCTTGCATTTTCTTTCCATACACCCCTGAAGGACATATAGACCTCTTCATGTAGGTCTCCATTCAAGAAGGCATTTGTAACATCAAACTGGTGGAGGGGCCAATCAAAAGTACCAGTTAGAGACAACAAAACTCGAACTGAAATCATCTTAGCGACAAGAGCAAATCAAGGTAATCAATGCCATACATTTGAGTGTAGCCTTTAGCAACCAATCTAGCCTTAATAAATCTCTCAATGGTGCCATCGAAATGATACTTAATGGTGAACACCCATTTAGAACCCATTGGTTCCTTCCTTTCAAGCAAATCCACAATATCCTAGGTATGGTTCTTATGCAAAGCATCTAGTTCAGCCATCATAGCATCCCTCCATTTAGGTTTGGATAGGGCTTCTGGTACAGACCTAGGAATCACATGGGTAGAAACAGAGGCAAGAAAATAGTAGTAGGTAGGGGATAGAAGGCTATAGGACAGGTGTTTGGAGATACAATGTGTTGTACACTTTCGCTTGCCTTTGCGAAGGGCAATAGGAAGGTCAAGGTCTGAGAAGGTAGCAGAAGGGTTAGATGAAGGCCGACTTGTTACCTCTGAAGTGATGGGAGGTGCAAGAGCCCAGAGGTTCTATTGAAGGAGTGGAAACAACTTGCCCATGCTTGAATCTTTGTTTTTGATACCACCTTTGGACAATGGGATATGAGTGAAAACTAGGAGTGTGATTTGGATGAGGAGCAAGAACATGAGAGGTAGACCCAATGGAAGGAGAAGCAGTAGAGAAAGATGGCTCAATAGAAGACTCAAAGGGAACTAGAAGGGGAAGTGGGGAACAACTGGGGACATAGCAAATGGCTCCTCAGAATGCTCCCCCTCAGGAGAAACACCAAAGAAAGGAGTAGGCTCAACAAATGTGACATCCCTAGAGACAAAATGGGTGCCATGAACCTGAATCAAAACAATATGTACATAGCAGGTGCACCCAAAAACTCGGAGAGGAAGAGAAAAGAGATCCTCATTCGGAAAGAGAAGGCTAAATGGGGTTTTGAAACCCAGAACTTGAGAAGGCATGCGGTTAGTCAAATATGTGGTAGTAAGAACAACATTCCCCCAAAATTTGATAGGAACATGTGATGCAAACAGGAGACATCAGCAACCTCAACTACATGGTGGTTCCTTCTTTTTGCCACTCCATTCTGTTGTGGAGTGTAGGAATAAGAACTTTGATGAATAACCCCAAAAGTCTCAAAGTATGATGAAAGGTTCTCCTCAAAATATTCCTTAGCATTATCAGAGTGGAGTATTTTGATCTAGGTGTTAAATTGAGTAAGAATAAGTTCATGAAACTTGCACAATGGTTGGAACTTCATCCCAAGGTCTCATGAGGTAAATCCAAGTTTAACGAGACTAATCATCAATGAAGAGGATAAAATACTTGCAACCCCCCATAGTAGGTAGATGATATGGTCCCCACACATCAGAGTGCACAATTTGAAAAGGAGAAATAGATCTTTTATTGCTTACTGAATAAGAATGTCTACAATGCTTTGCAAGTTCACATGACTTACAATGAAGACTCGATAAAGACATTCCCTTAAACATATCGGGAAACAAATGATTCAAAGCAAAAAAAGGTAAACGACTAAACCGTAAATGACATAACATGACTCTATCAAAAGACTCTAACAAAAAAGACTCCAAGGCTACTCCAATAGGTGGTCCAAGATTCTTATCAGGTGTGTTTAACAAGTATATTCCATTATGGCCACTCCCAATCGTCCTCTGAGATGTTAGGTCTTGAAAAACACAATGGGTAGGGAAAAGGGTTATGCTACAGTTCATGGATTTAGTCAAGCTACTAATAGATAAATGGTTGGTATTAAGTCTAGGGACATGAAGAATAAAGGATAAGACAAGGGTGTTAGAGGCCTTGATATCCCCTTTGCCAGAGATGGAAGCAAGAGACCCATCAACAAGGGATATCTTCTCTCTACCTGAGAGGAGTTGATATGAACAAAAAAGGTTAGATAAACTGGTCATATGGTCCGATGCACTAGAATCAATAATCCAAAGGATTTTATGATTACCTGAAATCGTAGCATGATTTGCAGAAGTATGTGTATCTGAGTTAGCAAATGCGGATGATGAGGTGTTGTCGGAAGGGTTGGATGCTGAGATAGTGGTTTCCAAGTGATTCAGTAACCTCCCATACTTTTCAAACTCTGCCTTTATTGTTGTCAGCTTCTCCATTAGCTGATTTTTCTTCACTTTCCCTATTCCCTCCACCAGTTTGATTGTAGTCACTCCTGTGAAAAGGGAATCTACTGGACCAACTCCCGACACTGGGACCTACTTCATCTCACTTCCAAATTGCTCCATTGACCAAACGAAAATAAAAAACAAGGTTTTCAATCTTTATAGACCTAACTGAGGTTAGTTGAACACCTAAAGGTCCCAAAACTAGGGGTTCACTGTACTCGACTTTCGGGGAGAAAGAGAGAAGTAGCCGCTCCTACCAAAGCTTCCCAAACCTCTTCTAACTGCAATCACCCACTTCTGGAGATCAAAAGGAGCCCTCCAAGCCTTGAGCACCACACCCAAACAGTCTCTTTAACATGTAATTGGAAGCTGTCTAGTCGGCTAGGGTTTTGGGCAAAAAATCAGCAGCTCCACTTTCTTGGCAATCTACAACCAGATTTTGACTCTCCAAACCCTCTACCAACTAGGCAAAAAAGTTCTCTGAATGATCAACAACTTATCTCTCCATACACTCCTCTAATTGAAGGGTGTATGGGAAAAGAAAAGAAAACCAAAAGAGGAGGAAGACTTGCTCTGATACCAAGATGTGATTCAGTCCAATAAAGGAATAGTAAAACATTTCAGATTATAGGAGAAAAGAAGAAGGAGTTCGATAATCTCCACTCACCCTCACCCCTCACTACTTCTTTTATTAATATTCATTAACTGGGTTAATTACGAGTCTGTCCTTGAGGGGGCGGCCAGCTAAGCAAGAACTTATAAAAGAGATTAACAGGCCCATTAACATACAAAATAAATAACATACTACTTAAAGATGTAGGGCTAATAAGATACTACAAAATAAATAACATACTACAAAATAAATAACATACTACTTAACAGGCCCATTCGGCCCAGTCTCTCTACATATTTATTTACTAACTAGTTTATTGTTCTGTGGCTAATAAGACCTAGAACCATTTCTTCTAGGTATTTTGGGGCTTCCCTCAAGATGTAGGGGCTTCATGACATTATGGCATTTTGCTTTGTTTGGCTCTAGAGACAGGCTTATATGGAGATGCAATCTAAACGCCTGCGTTGTTTGGTCAGAAAAAAAGAAGGATTTTTGAAGATAGAAGTTGCAAAATCCGGGCAGTTATTGGCCTTATCATCATGGAGTTGGTTCCATTTTGAGTTGGAGACTTGGAGTCAAGCAGCCAGCTTTGGTTTTCACAAAGAGATCATAGGGATTGGTTCCCTTTGCCTTATTCATCAAATTAGTTGATTAGGATGTTCCACGAGGATGCTTCATGGCATGAAAGAACTATGCAGAAGGTTAGACTCTTGGCAAACAGCCTGAACATTTTTCCTGGATCCAACGGTTGGCTGTTGTTCTTGTGGATCTCTTAGAAAATAGAGGATTGGTGGCTTTAGAAAACAAAAGCTTTGCTTTGGTGTTACTTCAATGAAATGGCAATTCCTGCAAGAAATGATTATTTAACCTAGACAGCCCACCTGTATGGTGGGTGATAGATTGGTTAATCTGATTATTTGGATAGGCTGATCAATGTTCACATGTATGTAATGAACAAAAAATTCTAAAAAGAAATACAGAAATGAAAACTTTGTTTCTTGACTATATAAAGAATCAAGGACTCATCCATCTTCCTTCACAGAATAACTGTACCATTCAATACTTGTGCTTCTCAACTCTTTGGACAGAAAGAAGAGATAATGATTTAACTAATTATAGAACCCTAATGGTAACCATAAAGAAAGAAACTCCTAAAGGATTCAATGGATTGATGACAGTATTGTGGGGATTATTCTGCTGAGAGTAGGGTTGCCCAACTTGAAGAATTTCAACTACATTGTGCTCAGGTTAGGGTCTGGAACAATTGGAATTTTAACAAATTCCCAACTCAACCTGACCCAAGTTGTACCTTAATTGAGAACTTGTTATTACTCAGACTGATGTATTAATAGCACCTGCAATATGCTTGGGACATGTTTCACTGTTTTTCTTTCCATTTTAAAGGGCATTTATGGTGGGACATGCTATTGGTGATGTAATCACTGGTGATTTGGTGGAACCTGAGGTAGTTATAAGTGCGGCTCCTTCAGTTGGAGGATTGTTGGATTCCTTAACTGGCAGCATAGGGATCTCAAGCATTTCTGCAAGAGCAAAACCTGTGGCTGCACCAGTTGTGGCTTCTACAACTTCAGGCGCTGCTGTAGCTGGAGCTGCTACATCAGATGCTCCAAAGATAGGTTCAAGGCCTTTTGACAAAGATGCACTGCGGACATTTATTAGTAGCTCAATGCCCTTTGGTTGGTACTTTCTGTTATGGTATTTCTCATCTCAAGTTTCTCTCATATGATCTTTTGTAGATCTTCCAACAAGTTACTAAATATCTAGATTGGTTTTTAATCTGTGCATTTATTCAAATACAGGGACTCCTTTGGACCTTAACTGTTCCACTATTTCTGCTATGAAGGTGAATGGATTTTCTTCATCAGATTTGCCTCCTGCAGACCTAAGGCAACCGGCATGGAAGCCATACCTCTACAAAGGAAAACAGCGAATACTGTTTACAATTCATGAAACAGTTTATGCTGCATTGTATGATCGTGATGAAATTCCAGATGTTTTATCAATTTCAGGTCAAGTAAACTGCAGAGCAGAATTAGAAGGATTGCCTGATGTGTCATTCCCATTGACAGGGTTGAACAATGCTCACCTAGAGGTTTTATCATTCCATCCTTGTGCTCAAGTTCCAGAGCAAGGTGTAGATAAGCAGGGTGTGATGTTTTCACCACCACTTGGGAATTTTGTTTTAATGCGTTATCAGGCATTCTGTAGCCTTGGACCTCCGATAAAAGGATTTTATCAACTTTCAATGGTCTCTGAAGATGAAGGTGCCTTCTTATTCAAATTGCGCTTAATGGAGGGTTACAAGCCTCCCCTAACTATGGAGTTCTGCACTCTGACTATGCCCTTTCCTAGGAGAAAGGTGGTCTCTTTTGATGGAAATCCTTCTATTGGTGCAGTTTCAATGACTGAACGTTCGATTGAATGGAAAATTGTTGCAAGTGGAAGAGGTGTTTCTGGAAAAAGTATTGAGGCAACTTTTCCTGGAACAATCAAGTTTGCACCAAGGTCAACTCAAAGATTGCCCTCCATGCTTAGGTCAACTCAAGGACATATATCTGAAGATGATAGTGATATTGAGCCTGAGAATTCTAATAATATGGTAAATGTAGAGGAATACTTGATGGAAAAGATGAACAAGGATCTTCCATCAGTTGATTTAGAGGAACCATTCTGCTGGCAGGCATACAATTATGCGAAGGTATGTATTAGCTGTTTATCCCTGTGAAATAATTTATGGTGACCTGCATGTATGTGGTGTATTTATTGCTGCTTTCTGAAATATACTCTCTTGACTAGTTAAGCCCTCCTTGTGCATAAAGAGTTTCATAATCTTATTTTTTATTATTTAAATTTATAGATTAATCATAGTTTTCCACTATAAAAGGTGAAGCAAAGGGGAGTTATTGGGGGACATTATTAATATTAACATTTATTTAATGTGCTATTTATGTTGAACACAAATTTCATAAAATAAGCTTGGGAGGATCAATTATTGTACTAGTAAATAAGATGATATTTAATGCACTATTTGTGTAAAGGGGAAAATATTAAATCAATGATAATACTGCTAATTAGACGGGCAAAGATGTTATTGAGAAATCAAGATGCAGGTAATTGTGTAATGATGCTTCTTTGTACAAGGTAATTAGATATATAGGGTTATCCTATTACTGGTCATTTGTATTTTCACTTTCCAAACTTAAAGTGTAACATTTACCCTGTAAAAAATGTTTTTTTTTTCTAATTTATCAAAAAATGCTTTTTGTAAAAAAATGACAAAAAGATTTTTACAAAAAAGTTAGGTCCACATCCAATCCACCTAAATAAACATAATTACAAAACTGTTGAGAGTTCTTCACTGTGCATTCAAACTGCTCATAGTAGTGAATAATTATTTTAAAGGCATTGCCTAGGCAACTAGGTAGGGGTGGTCATGGGCCGGACTGGGATTTTACAGGGTATTAACATCATTCTGGACTGCCTGGACCCAGTCTGGCCCACACCTCAGGCCTAAGCATCCAAGCTTGCTCGTATGGATTAACAGATCTATACTTAAGAAAACTATTTTAATTTAAGGTTAGGGGTTATTTTCTCTCTGTAAGTAACATTCTCATTCTTTTTGAAGTTAGTGAAGAATTCTTTGAAAGCAATTATTTTTTTCTGCAACTTTTGGAGTTTCTGCATTGAGGAGTCCTCTTACTCTCTTTTGGTAGCAAGACCATTAATCTACCTGCCTGTCCTGTCCCCCCGTCCCCTTCTATACATCATCCCATTTATGTGCTTTTTTTAACCAATGAATTTATTGTCATCTCTTTCTCTCTTGCAGAAGAAAGTCCACATTTAACTCTTTCTACTAATTTATTAGCCCTAGTTAATTAATCATAATTTCAGATTTTAGTATTCTTTAAATCTCAAATTATTTAATCCTATGACCACTATATTTTAACAATAAACAAATAGACAACTTAAGATTGGGTGGTCCTCCATCGCTAGGTTTGAGTAAGAGGTACCAAAACTTCTATGTTTAATAAATTCTGGAGCCAAACTCCCATTTTTTATCCACTTATTAAAAAAACTCTTTTTTATTGATACAAAAGGAAGAATGAATTATATATTACAAACGCACATCTACACCAGTACCCCAAAATAATTTATCCCTTTCCACCCCTTGTTTTGCCAAAGCATCTCCGATGTGTTTGCTGATCTGTGAATAGACCTGTTCATGGGCCGGGCTGGGCTTTGTATATATATCAATAGAATACACTCAGGCCCGAGCCCAGCCCGACCATCGGGCCTAAGTCTTGAGCCCGAGCCCAGCCCTCATATAAAGCTCGAAGCCCAGGCCCGAGCCCGAGCCCGAGCCCGACCAGAAATTTGAAAAAAGAATTTTTTTCTTTTTTATTCAATTGAAAAGTGTTTTATTTATATTAAAAACTTCAAAACTCAAAAATAATAAACATCTCACTATTACTTGGAAAGAAACAGAAGAAGAACAAAGAAAAAATATTGTATATATAATTTTTATTAAATAAAATATATGTTTATTRTTTAATATATTGTATCAAGTTGGGCTCGGGCTCGGGCTCGGGCTGGGCTTTTTTGAGAAAGCCTGAGCCCGGCCCAAAAAAATGTTGGGCCCGGTGCTTTAGGCCCGAGTCTGCAGGCCTAAAATTATGACCAAGCCCGACTTAATAGCGGGTTGCCATCCTCTGATGTTGCCATCACAAGAAAAAGATTTATGCGCATATACTGTGTCTTATGCAAGCCATATACTGAATATTGTTTTAGGTGATTTTATGGTGCACTTTTTTATCTGTAACTTCCAATTTTATTTTATTGATTTGAAAAAGAATAATATATTACAGAATGGTTGTGCAGAATACCCCAACAAGTTTAGGGCTGTCTATCCCTTCCCATGCTTCTATTTCAGTTATATATTTCAATTTTATATCCTGGTTTATGAGTCCAGAAACCTGCTAGACCATTTGCTGATCAATGAGTCCAGAAAAAAGATGCTCCCAACTCCCTGGTTAGGCTCCTCACCTTCATTTTATTCCCATGCTGCCATGTTCCTAGTGTATCATTATGAATTTATGATGTCAACTTATGATCACCTTTGAATATCCTTCTGCCACAATATTTATGTAGCTTAGTTGTTTTTCCATTGTCAATCCTTGTAGTACAACTAATAATTCCACTCTGGTTGAGTTTCCTTGGCCCACCGGTCCAGTTGATTTTCATTATATCTCCTTGATGATTTCCGAAAGATGGTACTGAACAGAACTGAATGGCGAAACAGATTCATGCCGCTAATGTTATCTAATGTAAATAATAGAGTTCCTTACCTTTAACAGAATATCTCTAGAGTTCCTTAGCTTCTTTTCATCTTGAAGTTCATTTGAATGTAAACTGTTGTAATATTAGATTTATGTCACACAGGGGCATTATTGTCTTTTCTCTCACCCTAATATTCTCTAATATAAATAATAGAGTGGTCTGCTGCCACACATTCTTTTGACCCCTAAATCTTCTTCCTCCTCTCTCTTCTTTCTTCCAACTCTTAACCGGACAACATAAACTTATGTTATTTTTATTTTCTTAGTCATCTGGGAAATTGGTGGTGCATTATTCATTATTCTCCCCATCTTCGTTCATCTTGGTTTGTGAACTTCTAGTTTTTTCATTTAAGGTAGGTAGGTGAAAACTGAGGGAAAGAACCCAACTTGGTAATGTAGCAGGGTCAATATCCCTATTGGTAATACATTTTTATATTGGTGTCTCCATTTTGTTAATTATGCAAAAGAATAACCCATTGGTCATATTTTCATGAAAACCCAAGGCAGGGAGTTTAGAAAAAAGAAAGGATCCAGCAATGGGCAGCTTGTTCATGTCACCAAGGTTTTTCATCATCTCAAGGACGGGTTGGGGATGGTCCATGTGGCAGATTTAAGAGAAAATACAAAAGGAAAGGATGTAAGCTCATATCTAGAAATCAGATCTGTCTGACAAACAGAGGTGATGAAAACGGTTTAGCTGTGGATTCAGACAAGAAGGCTCAGAGCATTGATTTAAGTTAATCAAAGAGGGGAAGCTCTCGCAGGGGAAAAGGAGGATAAATATAGGTTAAAGGATTATGAGAGGAATTTGGAGGAAGAGAGAGAGAGCAGGAAGAAGGTTGAGGAGAAAAATAATGAAAAGGGGGGGGGGTAGTTAGGGGGAGAAGGAAATAAGAAGGAATAAAGCTGAAGAAACTCCCAAGGAAAATATAATGCAGAGAGGAAAAGTTGGCATTGATCAACTAGTTGATAGACAGTTGGCAGTTGGGAAATCTCTTGGTCTTTTCTTTTTGAAGTAGAGGAGTTTGACATCGTTGATGAAGAGTGAGGTGTTCTGTTGGTATGCTGCAGGTGAAAGGGGCGAGGCTTGTGTAGCTGTGGTTGTTCTGCATTTGGTTCCCTGGCTTAGTTTGTGTGTTCATGTGGATGCTTCAAATTCTGGGTTTTAGTTTTTATATTTCTTTTGGGGTGGTTGGTTTTGTAAGATATTTGAGGGTTTGTTGTGATGAGATTTGGGTGAAAAAGTTTTCAAAGGAAAGTGTTTGGGAGAATGTTGTTCCTTAGCTTTGTTTGGAGGTGTTTCCTCAACACTTCTCTAGGTTGTATTTGCTTTTTTCTTTTTAATGAAATTTCTTTTTTACTTGTAAAAAAAAGATATTTTCATAAGATGATGCCTTCTTTTCTCTTGCTTCAAAAGCATTGAAGGCATGCTATACAGGAATTGGAACTTACGTAGTCCCTGATTTGCATTGACAAGAGTTATGGTCATCCTTATGCCGTTTGAAGAGAACAAGGTGATACTGGATGTGGGGTTGGAAGAGGTAGATTTCACCACAGTCCAAACTGAGGAGGGCATTATAATGGTGGAGAACTGGTGGCCCCTCCTATAACTCGAAGACTTTCAACAATGGAAACTTTCGTTTGAAACTGGTAGGCCTCCCATTCAATCTATGGTGAAAGTGCCTGTTGGAGAAAATTACAGCTGCGTTGGATGGAGTTCTCATCTCCTACAAGAAAACAGATCTGAAGGCTGTTGGGATGCGAATTATAGGAGTGAAGCCAGACGCTGTACCACGTTCGTTCGAACTGTAGCCGATGGCTTATGGAGCAAGGTATGGGTAGCATTGGAGGTGGAAGCAGCACTGTTGAATGGGAGTTCGAAGGTTGAAGAAGATGGTGACGTGGCAGGTAGGGTGACACGTGGTGGCGACAGAGAAGCCACAAGACAATTGCGTAAGAAACAGAGTAACATGTGTACTTCTAAGGAAGTTGAAAAGCCAATAGTCTGGAAGGTTCGCACTCCAGAAAAAGAAGTGTATTCAAAAAATGGGGATAGGAAAGCGGGAGATTTTTCTTTTAAAGAGATATTAATGAAAGGGGCTGGAGTAGAGATTGGGGTGGGCCCACAAGGGAGTAAGTTAAACTGCCAGACCTTAGACGAGCTGGTGGTTCGAGCCGGCTCTAACATTTTCAACTCGGCCCACCGAATAGACAATAAGGCTAAGGTGTCACATGATGCTTTAAGTCATCACGTGAGGCAACCCGTTGGACCTTTGATAGACAGACTGAAGGGTCTATCATCGTCTTCATCATCTCTGAGATCGAATAGTAGGTAGAATGGGTGCGAACTAAGATGGAATCC